CCCAGCCCAGCCCAGCCCCGGGGGGGTCCAGCCCCGCCTGGGTGCCCCAGGGCCGCTGTGTCAGGGCCCAAGATGGTGACAGGCAGCGGCCAGGAGCGATGTGGCCTCACTCCACAACCGCCCGCACCCCCAGGCGTGCTCGGGGGGGAAAAGCCAACACTTGTAACCGCGGGGCTAATTAATTGTAACGGTCCAAAGGCTCGCAAGGTGGGTCACGACCCGCTGTCACAGTGACGCCAGGGTATCTGGGGAATAAAATTTGAAACTTAACAAACGTTAATTATGTTTTCTGTCTCAGGTGAACATCCCAAGGCTGACATTTTCAGAAGAAAAAAAAAAAACCCACAGCTGGCAAGGGAGAACAGAGGCAACCACAGCTTTGGGATGCGCAGTTCCAGTAGCCAGCAGTAGCATGTGGGCTCAAGCGTCCCCCGCAGCGGGGGTAAAGCAGGCTAACCACGATTATTTTCGCTAATAGCAGGGTTTCTAGAACCAGTCAGAACTCTATTTGTTTGTAGTAGAAAGAAGGGTCCAAATAAACTCCCGAGTTAAAAAAAAAAACACATTTATTTAATGAGGTTTTGTACTTGACAAATGTACAAGTCTCAGAAGTTTTAGCAAATGAAACAAAAATTTAATAAACAATGATTACATCTTCAGGGCTTGCTTTACACAGTATTTACATTGTCCTAGTTACAACACTGAATACGAAGGCTGAAGGAATTGCCTGGTTTTGGGTTTCGGCGGTGCCATAATCCCCAGCCTCCCAGCAGCTCCTTGCGTGGCACTAACAGTGTACGATGCCGAAGTGCAGCCAAATGAAGCGTTTGAGCTAAACGGCCTTTTGCTCCTTCTGTACTTGCTGTAACCGCTGCAAAATTGAGAGAAGGTATGTGTCAGACACCCGCTTCACTTGCCCCATTCCCTACCCCATGGTGTACTGCTGGATTTGCCAGAAGACTATGCTTTCATTTTTAAAAGATTTTTTTTTAAATACACACAGCTGCAAAAATGCCTTTGAAATGTAAATCAAGTGTAGCTGTTGCTCTGGCATTTGCCTAAGGGCAAGCAGCAGCCTGAAACAGGGACAGAGCAGGCTGAACCCACCTGACTCCTATTAATCCAATTAGAGGATCAACATTAAGTGACACTTCGGGGTCAACAGCCTTTAACAACTAATATTTGAGTAGATGGGAAGGTGAAAGGGGTGGGAGGAAAACACTGCGCTGGGAACTGCTCCCTGCTACAGAAAGCAAAGACCAGAACAAGGAAAAACAGGGCAGAGGAGACATCCTCGGAAAGGAGGGACAGTGGCAGAAAGCAAGTTCTAATAAGGCAGAGCGTGTTTTCTCTTTGATGATGAATCAAAGCAGTACAATGTAAGTAATTAATACACCGATAAAACCCAACCGCCTCTGTAATGCAGGCCTGACTCTTGGGGTGGGGATCTTACGGAACGTTTTGGAGAGCACCTGAGTACCCTTTAGAGCTACTCTTCCCAGAGGCCGAGCACCTCCCAGCTGAGGGATAACGCGACTTCTGTGACGCTTTCCAACTGAACAAAACCCCGTCCCAAGAATTATTTCAGAAATGCAAATTGTGGGTTGGTCACATAACTGCTCCGTTGTACCTCAGGTCCTCTGTCTCATACACCGAGCGAGGTAACATTTCTAGGCTGAGGGATTAAGTAACCAGACCAGCCCGCAGCACCGACAACTTTAATTTACTTCCTTTTCATGCCAGGCAAGCTCATAGCTCATAGCACAGCAAACGTTGAAAAAGCACAACTATAAAACCTATAATATAAACTATAAGAGCCCGTTGCTCAAGCTTTCTAATGTCATTCCCCACTGTTTTTAAAGACGGTTTGGGGAGGGCAGAATTCTTTCAACCATTTCTCCTTTTTCATTCATTCCCTTGCAGCAGTGATTAGAACCCATGTTTTGAAGCACAAACTGCTACTACTTAAGTTACCAGCCTAACAACTGCACGGACTGCTAAAATAAGGTCCCTGACTCAAAAGGACGAGGCCCAGCCTGGCTCCTCCATCACCCATGACAGTCTGGTGGTGGATCTGCCCTAGAAGCTCAAGACCAGCCAGGCTCCTGGATCCAGTCGCTGGGGTCTTGAGGCAGGCATTGCCTCGCATGGCACAATCAGAGGGAGAAATTCCAAATTAACAAGGGACTGGGAACTGAAGTTCAAATACTCCATCAAATCTTCGAAGTTTTGAGCCATCTTTACATTTCCGAGCCGAGAATGCAGCCAGCCTGCTAATAACTGCTACGGCAGCACGCTGACACTTCGCGTCACCCCTCAGCTTGTGGCAGTCAAGAGTGAGAAACAGAGGACAACTGCTAAATAGCCTTCCTCACCAGGAGCTTTTCAAACAGAAAATGCTAGAAAACCAGAAAGCAGAGCAGTTGTTAGCAGGTACCGGATAATTTTAATGCCATTCTTAAAGTCAAGAAAATGCAGTAGGACAACAGCGCAATTCCAGGATCATCACCATGCTATTCTGGACAAAGAAAAGTTAGAAGTGACCGCAAGCAACGTACCCTTTGGGATGAAACTGCTGGCTGCCACCACTGCTTGTCTTTTTCCTCTTTGATTCTCTGAAGTTTGGCGGCCTTTTCCTTTTCTTTCTTTGGTTTGCGTTATTGCAAAAATAGCTTGAGGTCCTGACTGCATCTTCTGCTTCTTCATCACTCTGAGGCGTGCCAGTGCTGCCCGTAGCTGCGTCCACACTTTGGCAGGCAGCATCTTCTACAGACAGACAGTGAGTTAAAGCTACCAACATCACAACACTGCCTGGGCCAGCCAGAACACACAGACCGTGCCAAAGCTGCTGCCCTGGCTGCTCAATTCCCCCTTTGCACTGCCTTCACCCTGGTGATGCTCCAGGCGCAGCTAAATGTGCTTCACAGGCTGGTGTGAACCAAACCTGCCTTCTGGCCTAGCTTTATCTCATGACAGAGAAGAATACTGGCCAGTTCTATTTTCTCTAGCTTGCCGCCTTGTCTAAACTATTTTGGTAACCCTGGGCTTTCTGCCTCTATGCTCTCTTCCCCACGTCAGCTGGAAAGAGTAATGGAATATACCATAACTACTACAGTCAAATACAACACTTGTTTTTAAAGACAGCACCAGGAGACACCGGAAGGCTCAGAGAGCAGGGAGCTCCTCGGTCAGTCATGATCAAGAGGGACATGATTCTTTGGGCAGGCAGTAGAACAGAAGCCTCAGCCACACATTTATTCACACTGCAGTGTATGAAAGCACGGCCTCCTTAAAAGCAAGCACGCATCACTTCCACACCGCAGGCCCCGCTGTCTGATCTGATCGCCAAGCTGTATTAAATATTCTAACCACAACATAGGC